CACAATATAATGATCCATGTAAGATATTTTCTCTTAAGATATTATAAACATTTTATAATATTAGTAGTACGAAGCAATAGTAAATTATGAGCTTTATTCATCACAGGTGTTATTATTTAGATTTGTAATATCTGAAGAAAATTCAACTTAATGTAGATTCCATCCTATATAGTTAGAGTATCCTCCTACATTAACATGGAATGAACATGTACCTGATAAAGGACTTGGAAATTTTGGAACTAAGTAAAGATCTTCTTATAGAAGTAGGCCTGCTGGAGTTCAAAAACATATTTTTAATGTATACTATCAAATTTTTCCCTTTCACAATTTTATACCCTAAATGGAGAAGTTGGTTTGTATAGTATCAGTCTACCAATATTATTTCTTAGGGCCTCTTTGACTTCCTTATTTCTTAGACCGTATATAAATGGGTTTGCTAGTGGAGGCAGTACTAGGTGTAAAAAAGAAGAAAATTTTGGCACATCTGCTTTTTCTGTTTGTGGCAGCATGTAAACAATCATGAGAGATCCATAGAAAATAGAAACCACAACCAGATGAGAAGAACAGGTGGAAAAGGCTTTCTGCCTTCCAGTGACAGAGGGGATTTTTAAGACAGCATCTATAATATAAACATAGGATAAGAGTGTTAAGAGAAAAGGAGGAAGTGTGAAGATGGCAGCTACAACATAACTCATAATTTCCAATACCCAGGTTGCACTACAGGAAATGCTTAGAAGGGCAAAATATTCACAGAAATAATGGTTTATTTCATTAGATCTGCAAAACGTTAATTGCTGTAACATCAAAATGAGCAAAATTGAAAATACAGCAAATCCATTGATCCAAGATGAAGCTGTTAAATAAATACAAGTCTGAGAATTCATGGTTGTCAAATAATGCAGTGGTTTACAAATTGCTAGATATCTGTAGTAAGACATCACACACAGTAAACAGCATTCTGTAGCTACCAAAGAACTACAGAGGTACCACTGCATAAAACAGTTGCTGAAAGAAATGGTTCCATCACCAGTTAGGAGAGCTGAAAGCATCCTTGGGAATATATTGGAACTATAACAAATTTCAAGGAAAGAAAGGCTTCCTAAGAAGAAATACATTGGCACTTTAAGATGCTCATCAAAGATGACTAGCATAACAATGAGAAAGTTTCCAGTCATGGTTACAATGTAAATTACTAGAAAACTCAGAAAAAGAAATCTTCGAAATTCACAAAATTCATGAAATCCAAGCAGAATGAATTCATCTATCTTTGTCTGATTCCCCAGCATCATGGCAACTAGGAAAACCATGTCCTATTGAAAAAAGAAAAGAAACAAAATGCACAAACTCAACATATTGTCATAGTGATATTCAACCTATTATTTTCTTAGTGATATTTTGACCAACAAGTCAATGTGTTTAATGTCTTATCTGTCATCTGATTGACACACTTTATTTTTTTTTTCTATACTTGATGAAGAATCTATAATAATAGGATTGACAGAGATAGCTGGAAGATGTTATGTCTCTGTATTTCATTTGTTTATCCTCACAATATATTTATGTTTAAGTATAATGTATATTTTGCCTTTCCTGACAATTGTACTGTATTTATATGGGTTGACTAGTTGTCCATGATGCAAAACATGAAATTAATCAAAGCTCTCTCTTTGTCATATTATTTTAAAGGATAGAATGTAAATCTGTAAATTAATCTAATGTAAATAAAAATAGTTTAGTATCCTTTCAACTAGTACTTTTCTAAACCTAATTAAGTGCATAAATATTTATTTTTGTACTGTAATTTAAAAAGAAGCATACATATGTATCATAATGATACATTATTCTAACAACATAAAAAACTTTTTGAATGAAAATTCTTGTTAAACTCTGCTTAAAACATGTTTGCTTTCTCTGGAACTATCTCAGGTTGAATAATATTTACACATACAATCAGACATTCACATTTGAATAAACAAATAAATTAAACAGAAGAAAATATTTCTTTTTGACTCTATCAAAAAACATTAAAAACTACATGGGAGTCCTTTTTGGAATGCTTCTCATGCCCCCTTTGCATTTTCAAACTGACATATCTTTCACATGAATATTGTTTAATCTTCATCTTGTCTTCCAAGATGCCATTAGGGCACCTATGCAGCTATTTTTATTTAAATATTTATTTTGCCAAGTTAATCTGCTAATCTTAAAATGAAATTAATAAAACTATATTTGTGATTGTTGCTGAAATAACTGAACATAGCTAGCTATACCTCTGGAAACATATTCTACAGAACATTCTTGTTTGAAAGATCAGTTCTTTAATTATTTCCCCAAAACAAACAAAGTTTACATAGTGATAGTTACCATTCTGTTGCTGCTTGATATTCTCTGTTGAAGTATTTCATGGTGAAAAACTCCTTCCTCTTATTTTATTCAAAATAAATAACTATTTTAATATATAAAGATATGTACCAATCTGCTTTTTGTTTTCTTTAGTTTGTTTTTGTTTTAATTTCTTCTGGGCTTTTGGTTTTTATTTTTTGATGTAAAAGAATGTACTACCTATAAGAAATGTTGTTTATTTAGATATGATAAAATTTAACTTAAAAGGACAAAATAGTGATACTTGGATAGTATTACTATTACTATCCAAGTATGTTGTTTTTTTTATTAAGGAGAAGATAGATATGTAGCCAACAGATGTGTATTTTGAAAACAAACTAGTATGAACTGGATGGGGAGCAAAACATAGATTAATATGGAAAGCAAAATATTACATCATTGTGCATTTCTCAAAGCCCTTATGGGAAAACCCTCAAGCACTTTGCATATCTAAGGTTTCTGTTTCCTTGGAAAAATTAATTGGCATATTAGGTAAGAATGACCCAAAAAATAGCCTTTTTTGCTGCATACCCTATGAAGCCAACAGTTCATAAGTGTGATAAAGAGTGATAAAGAGACAAATGAATGATAAAATAAAACTGCAAAAAATATGGCTGTTTGCAGCCCATTCTGTTTATTGGCTAATTAATTATATCCAGAACTTCTTGTCTGCCAACTAAGGGAGAAAAAAGAAATAAACTCCCAATGATGTAATTAAAACACCTTTCATCAGCATTGTTAAAAGCAGAAATATAAATTGATGAACAATAGGCAATATGCCCCTAAAATGTCTTTAAAAGTTTAAGAGAGAACCATAGAAAAATTGAAATTTCTTCTTTTTGGGAGAGTGATAATCACACCATATGACCTGCCATTTAGAAAAGAAGAATTAATTTCCTTTCACATTTTTTTTAAATCCCTGAAATAGGGTGAAGTGTTGCCCCATTGTTTTATCCCAACACTTTTCAGATTGTTATAAATAACCAATATATTTTAAACTGCACTGTGATATCCTTCCAGGATTTTCCCCAAAAACTAAACATAAACATCATGAATTATGCTTTTTTTTCCCTTGTGATGGTGGGAATCTGATGTATTCTTTTTTTTTCTTGAAAGAGATATGGAAAGTTTGCATGTCTATGGAGGAATGTAATAGCAATAACAGCAAAAATATAATGAAACTGAAAACTTGACAGAGTTAATATTATCTAAAGGATTCACTCTCCCTGCTATTTTAGTCTCATTTAACAAAAATAGATGATTTGTTTCCTAATGCTTCCCTATTATTAGGTTGAATTTTAAATCATAAAATACTATGGGGAAAAAAGTTTTGCCCTTGAATGTTGCATCACATAGTTTGAATCTGCTTTTGAATTCAGAATTTCCAATCTGAAAAAAAGATAAAAGGCTGGTTCATGCAAGCCCACAAAGTGAAGCTTCTGGTTGAGGGGGAAAAAAAAGATGTACAGTATGTCCTAATTTGAGAAGCTTTCCAAAACTATCTAAATATAAAAGGGATTTTAACATGTTGTAGAACTCTCAAAACACAAAAGTGTTGTATATTAAATTACCAAGGATAATTTATATTAAGAAAAACTGCTTTCCAAATTCATTTATTATTCAAAACAGAAATTAAGTATATTAGAAAGAATACACATAAAACAAATGTAACCTCTTATGTAGATATACAGAAAAATATTATTAAGCCTTATTTAACAATAATCAGAAACAAAGACAAATTACAACTGTTGAGTTTCATTACACTACAGGGAGGTTCTCTTCATATCTGTGGTAATCATATTTAGCCATAGTGATTTTAAATTTTTACTGAGATATTACAGCATAGAGATGGATACTGTTAAACCCATTACTATGTAGAGCCTTCCAGGGCCCCATATGCAGTTCCCTTACACTTCAAGACTAGGCTATCCCAAACCAGACAGAGATTTTTTCCTAGTCATATTCTTTCTGTTGTTGATGCAGGAAGAATGTTCTTCCTGCATCAACTTAAGAAATTCAGACTGTCCCAGGAGCTGTTAATACAGTTCTGCACAGGAATGACTGAATCTGTCATTTGTACTTCTATAACTGTCTGGTTTGATACAGTAACTAAACAGGACAGTTACAGACTCCAATGGATAGTAAGGACAACAGAAAAAATAATTGCAACCAGCCTGCCTTCCGTAAAAGACCTGTCTATTGATTGGGTCAGAAGGAGGGCTGAGAAAATAACCATAGATCCCTCACATCCCAAAACAACAGGGACATTTTTCCTCTCATGCCATCATTCTGCTGAACACCTAATCTACACAATACAGTCTTATGTCTAAGTAGATTAATCCACTGTAGTAGTATTATTAACCTTCCAATCTTCTCTACTACACCCTCTTATTATTATGATTATCACTATTCTGTTGCTTTGCATGCACACTGAGAGCTTCTGCACCAGAAACAAATTCCTTGTGCATCTAATCACAATTGGCCAAATAAAATATTTTCTCTTCTCTTCTCTTCTCTTCTCTTCTCTTCTCTTCTCTTCTATTCTATTCTATTCTATTCTATTCTTTTCTCAAGCTTAAGCTTGAGAAAAAAGAAGTTTATGTGATATGTCCTTTTTATTATATCTTTATTATATTAATTAGCTTTGGAGACTTTACTCTACACTGCACAAGTTTTCTAATGTTATTTCTCAGTGCATCTTTGACTTCCTTATTCCTTAAGCTGTATATGAAAGGATTGGTGAGAGGGGGCAAAACTGTGTATAACAGAGAGGATATTTTTTCCATTTTTCTATTGACATCATTCTTTGGTAGCATATACACAATCATGAGTGAACCATAAAAAATGGAAACCACAACCAAGTGAGAGGAACAGGTAGAAAAAGCCTTCTGTCTTCCAGTAGTGGAAGAAATTTTCAATATAGCAGCTATGATATATATGTAAGAGATCAGAGTTAAGAGAAAGGGTGGAACTGTGAATAGGACAGCCACAATAAAACCCATGATTTCTATCAAGCTAGTATCAGTGCAAGAGAGATTAAGAACTGAGAAGTAGTCACAAAAATAGTGATCCATTTCATTTGAGCTACAAAACGTTAGTTGTAACATGAGATGAAATAATGTCACAATAGTTATAAATCCACTGACCCAAGATGCAGCAACTAATTGGATACAAGTTCGGGCTTTCATAATTGTTGCATAGTGCAGTGGTTTACAGATAGCTAGATATCGGTCATAAGACATTGCACACAGTAAGCAACATTCTGTAGCCTCTAAGGAACCAAAGAGATACCACTGTGTGAAACAGCTGCTTAATGAAATAATGTTGTTTCCAATAAGAAGAGCAAGAAGCAACCTTGGAAATATATTGGAGCTGTAGAAAACCTCCAAGAAGGAAAGGTTCCCCAGGAAGAAGTACATGGGTGTATGAAGGTGGCGATCAAAGATAACTAATGCCACAATGAGAGTGTTTCCAGTTACAGATACAGCATAAATTACTAGGAAAATCAGGAAAAGAAGTGACTGTGTTTTACTGTATTCCCCAAATCCCAGAAGGACAAATTCAGCAATTTTTGTTTGATTTCTGATCATCATGAAAATGAGAACTTCACATTCTGTTAAAAAAAATTAGAAAATTTATTATAGATAAGCTGTTTCTTTTTTTCGGACAGCTCTCAGATGTTTATACACATTAGTAAATTAAATACATTGGAACAAGATACAGAATCCTGTGAATGGAAAAGGGGAACTTGTCAAACAACCTTTCCTATTCCTGTGCAGAGAGTGGACATTTAATATTGGAATGATGTGTACCATCAATTATTTAATTATGTATTTGATTTCTGGAACAGAAAGTTAAAATTAAATATTATGGGGGTTACTATAATGTTATAATATTCACAATGCATGAAAGAGTTCACTCTTGAACAGATCATCAAATTTACCTTCAAAGTCATCCTGAAAAACAAAAGATATCTTGTCTAAGATAGCAAGTTATCAATTTATTGCTAAAAGAATGGTTCAGCTCCATGACTTTAGAAAGTGCTTTCCTAGGGTTGAGACAGACTGATCAGCAAAAGATTTTCCAGCTCATTAGTGTGTTAAAGCAGTACCGGAATTTGGATTCCTTGCTGATAGTTCAATACCTTAACACATATTTTTGTGAGATGGTAAAATGATGTTGAAATCCTTTTCTGAAAACAGTCTTGAATACTAACAAGAAATTAAGATTTTTTTTAAAAAAATGGTGAATTGTGGCTTTATAAATCTAAATTATTACTCATAAATAAATAAAAAGACTAACAAATACTTAATTGCTTACCAAAAATTAATCTTTTCTAATGTAAAAACTAGCTTTTACATTTATATTTGCTTAATTCACCATTTTTTTAAAAAAAATATCTTAATTTCTTGTTAGTATTCAAGACTGTTTTCAGAAAAGGACCGACACCATTTTATCCACCCCACAAAAACATATATCCATATACTGTACATATCTTTTATGTTTAAACTTGGTTGGTGCCTTGACAGCCATCTCCCTACCTTTTAACATTTAACATTTAACTTATTCTATTCTTCTTTCATGTACTTTTTATTAATACATCATATGTTATATGATTTTTAAGACATTTATGTATTTGTCTTATGTGTTTGCTCAGAGCCACTTTGTGAGCGAGATGGGAAATAAATAAATAAATGTCAAATTCTCTTACCTAGGGTTCACCTGCACTTGTACATTTAGGAACACCTTTTGAAAACCATACATTTAATCCCAAGATTAGCACATTTATATATATATTTAATAGTAATATGCTATTATACAAGTATGAATAGTTCTCTCAAGAGAATATCTCAAAATAGAATCCTCCCAGCATGAAGAGGCAGAAATAATAAATAATCACTGGAGAAATAATGCTTCATAAATGCACATATATTTCTTTAAACGTTGATTTGATATTCCTACTGTCCAGCAATAAAATAAGGATGATTTCTCCTTGTGGAGAATAGGAACTTTTGAGATATGAATGTGGTATTAAATCTTACAGGACAGATAGGCAGATTTTCTCTATGACTATTTGTCCCCAACTGATCCCTCTGATTTTCCAACTATGCATCCACTCAATACATTCACCTTGACATATTCTTGTCTTTTCTTGCATAATGTGGGGTCCTCTGAGCTTGCTTGTTTTCTTGCAGATGTTTCATTACCCCAAGTAGGTGACATCATCATTGCTAGTAAGGAGTGCTGTTTGCTGTCAGTTTATATTCTGGTCTCATGTCTTTCTGGGTGGGTGAGGGATACTTTGGTTGGGCTGTATACTAATGGCTCTTTGGCAGTTTCTTGCTTGGGATATTACTTACTTGAGTGTTGGTCTGAAGTTGATCTTGGAGTTAATCTATAATGTATCTAAAGTAGGATAACTTGAGCCTGGTCATTTGGGCCTCAAAGGAGAACTTTAGTTTGATTTGTTCAATGATGCGTTGGTTTATTTTATTGGCTGTCCATGGTATTCTCAGGAGTTTTCTTTGGCACCAAATTTCAAAAGAATCAATACTTTTTCTGTCCCAGTTCTTCAAAGTCCAGCTTTTGCCCAACTCATAAGCAGCACATCTTGCTTGCATTATCTCATGATTTCAAATTGAACTTGATCATAAATATCATATGATATCATAAATATCATCAACTACCTCTTCCTATTCACAAGTGTGATTAAAGTAAAATTTAGATAATCATATTGAAGGGCAGTCTAATTGATCTTATCTCATAATAGATGTCATTGCAGCCAAGTACTTTTTTTCTAGTTATAAGAGCTACAGTATGACTTCTTTGTTTTCCATTTTCCAAGTAATAAATATTGTGTTTTTCTGACTAAAAGTGACTGCTTAAGATGTCAGTCTGTAGTGTTTTCAGGAAATCTTTCAATATATTGAGCTTTCCTTTGTCTATGCTATTTTTATTCCATGTTCCTACTGTATTTTTGTCTTTGCAATTTGTCTTTTCCTCTACGGCAATATTAGGAACATAAAAGCTTTAATCTAGCTATATTGTAAACACCATTAATACTCTAAATATCTTTAGCAATTCCTCAGTAGCATGTTGAGTATCATGCAACCACTGGGTTACCCATCATCTAGCATTATATTTTTCAATCATTTATATGTTCCAGCCATGTAGCTTTTTTGTAAACTTATAGGAGTGATTTATCTTTGCCTTCTCCCACACAGTATGAATTGATGCCTTTGTCATTGCCACTAAAGATGTGATCTGTTTGCAGCATCTTTCTATATTGCTTCTGCCCAGTATAAGTGTCTACTTGCTTTAGCTTGGCATCTAGAATGACCTTTATGTCTTATGAGATCTTGTTGGGAATATACACTCCTGGCATTCTTTGCTCATCCCTCTAAAGAAAAAATCCTCCTCCCCCCCCCACAAGATATGATAGGGCAATACAAAAAGAGTTGGAAGGAAGAATTTACATCTTTCAAAAGGAAATGTTTACACAAGACTGCAACAATAAGTTTTATTCATATCTTAAATTTGTCAATATTCTGTCAATAAATCACTAAAATAAGCATCAATTATTCCATTACTGGGAACAACAATTTCCTTTCTGGGCTAATTAATTCATGCCAATGCTTTCCCATCAAGTTTTAAAGTTGCAATTTCCAGCAACTGTCAAGATTTTTCAGTATGTTTATTTCAGTTGTGCTTAATTTCAGCTCAAGGTCTATGTCATAATTTTAAATTACTTCCTTTCACCTCAACCTATAGAACTTAAAAATTAAAACCAGATATCACACAGATTAATAGAGGTAATGTAACACAGATTAATTTGTTTTTGCATCATTATCAAAGAAAAGTGCCTGTGATTTTGATAATGCTAATACACCCTTTCCTTTCCTTTCCTTTCTTCCTTTCCTTTCCTTTCCTTTCCTTTCCTTCTTTTCCTTTCCCTTTCCCTTTCTTTCCCCTCCCCTCCCCTCCTCTCTCCTCTCCTCTCCTTTCCACATATCCAATGTTAAGTTTCAAGATGTCTTTTTGTGGCTTGAGAATCTCTTGATTCCATATCTCAATTACCACCCAAAGCACTGAGCTTGAGAGACATATACTGGGAAAGATTTTGATGCTTCAACATTTGTTGACAATTTTCTCTTGAGATCTCCTATTATACATTTTTTTTTAAACTAGAACGTAGCTTCTGAATATCTAGGGATATCTCCCTAATTTGTCATATAAATCATGTTCCATGTGAGATGCCATCCATTAGTTATTTAATAATTTGTATACTAAGTTCAAAAGATGAAAGGCTGGACTTTCAATAAAGACACAATTTTCTCTTAACATTGAGGACTTGCAACATTCAGAGTTCTCAATCTATTTTTCATCATTGAAGTTACAATACATCAACACATAATGAAAGTGGAATATTCTTCTACAGAAACATTGCAAGTAGGAGTTATGCTTATGTACTAATTATTTCAATAAGATCGGAAAGAAAGAAAAAAAATCTTGCAAATCAATATCCTAATTCTAGCCCTTATCATTTTATCATTAATATATATGATTTGCATGCTCTTCATAGATGAAACACATTTAAGTAATTATCAAAATAACAAAGATAACTTACTTTTCCAACAAAATATTCCATATTAGTATTAATATTGTGGTATGTATTTATGGAAATGTGAATCATTAAATATCTGTAACTTATCTTTCTTTGTTTTGCCTTTCTTCTCCCCTTCCCTTTTTGTCTTCTGCTACCAGTTCTTGAATATTCTTAAAACTCTAGGATTCAAGCACTATTTTTTTATCTGGTAAATATACCATTTTTGAAATAACAAAAGAATGGAAGTTGACTGGATGCAGAATTGATGTTACTGTCATTTTCTCCCTTGCAGGGATTAAAAGGTCAGCCCATCTTTCCTGAATGTTAATGAATATCAATCAATGTTCTAATTGTTTTGCAAAGATGATTATCTGATTTGCTGGGAAATAGTTTGTATGGTCATTCTGTCTGTTTTACAATTATGCATAGTATTAAATTTTATTTGTTTGGTCATCTTGCAACAGGAGTAGCAAGGAATGGGAAGCTAGCAGTTCATTGTGTGCCAAATTCCATGAATGTAGCTATTAACAAAACTGAGGCTAATCCTGAAAGTTAAAAAAAAGTTTGAGAGAACAGAATTGCACTTATTAGAGATAATCAACATAATCAACATACTCATAATTGTTTTAAAAATCAATTGCAATTATGGTAAATCATGGAACTTTAAATGATTAAAATTTCAACTCTGATTGTACTTAAAATATGACTACAATGATAACTATCTCCCAAAGAGATACTTTTAATAGGAACTTCATGGCTCCAAATCAGCAATGTTTATATTGTGATTTGGAAAGATTTGCCAGCTAATTACAGCTCATCAAACTAGTAAACCATGGTCTATTTTCCCAGAGCAAAGGATAATTAAATTAATAATACAGGCTATGATATGAAATTTGGAGATATATTCTGTGTATGAGATACAATGAAAGATTTAGGCTATACCCATGTTTCCTTTCAGGGAATACCTGGGAGGTAGATGAGATC